TAAGGTCCCCTCGCAGCCTTCTCTTCTTCAGGCTGAACAAGCCCAGTTCCCTCAGCCTCTCCTCGTAGTGGAGATGCTCCAGTCCCCTCCTCATCCTCGTAGCCCTCCGCTGGACTCTCTCCAGTAGCTCTTCATCCTTCTTGAACTGGGGAGCCCAGAACTGGACACAGTACTCCAGATGAGACGAACTACTCTTATTTTTAAGTAGTTCCCTGCACAACATGACTAAGGAAACCTGTCTCGGTGTGATTTAGAGCCTCGCCTTAGCTTTTGAGACATGAAATTGGTCAGCGGGTCGTGTTCAGAGCCCTCTCTGTGCTTTGGGTGCTCGTATGTCTCTTCTCCCACGCGGGTTCCCAAGCGCTTGCTAGCGTAGAGCACCTTTCCCGAGGTGGGGTGCTGATCTGAGGGCCTCTTCTCCTGGCACCGCGTCTTTTGGTGGAGCCCGCGCGGACTCGCTGCCTTGGAGACCTCCGTGCACGTCAGGTTTGGTTGAAATTTCCCACTGGGCTGGGAATTGCTGGAGTGGCAGAGCTGTCGGGGGATTATTCTGCAGGCGGATTAGGTTTCCCCAGGAAACCAGGCGGAAAGGGCCGAGGAGCGTCGCGATGGGAGCTCAGCTGCTCCGGCACCTGCGCCGCCACAGCAGAGCTGAATTCCCAGACGCCTCGCTGGAGCTGGAGGCGATACCGCGTGGTGCCACTCGTGCCCGGATTTGTAGAGAGCTGCGCGTCGGATGAATATGAGTCCCAGAAAATCACTTGTATGGAAACACGAAACCAGTTTTCAGCCTCTTTTGGCACAGTGATTTATCCAGAGGTGGTTCTACATGTGGACAAAGTTAGGGAGAACGTTGGTGTGCATTGACACATGCGTGATTCGAGTCTCCCTCTGAAGAAGAGGAGACTGAGGAGTGACCTTCTCGCTCTCTACAACTACCTAAAAGGAGGGTGTAGTGAGGTGGGTACTGGTCTCTTCTCCCAAGTAACCAGCGACAGGACGAGAGGCAATGGCCTCAAGCTATGTCAGGGGAGGGTTAGTTTGGATATTAGGGAAAAAATTCTTTACTGAAAGAGTTGTGAAGCATTGGGCCAGGCTGCCCAGGGCAGTGGTGGATTCACCATCCCTGGGCGGGTTCAAACAACGTCTAGACGTGGCACTTTGGGACATGGTTGAGCAGGCACGGTGGTGTTGGGTTGATGGTTGGACCTGATGATCTTAGAGATCTTTTCCAACCTTAATAACTCTATGAGGGAGACTGAAGGCAGGGCGGGGAGCCTCAGAAGCTTGCTGGTGATGGTGCTCTTGCAGGAGATGAGTTGGAGTCCCCTCGCTTCGCAGGTTGCTCGTCAGCTCTGCCTCCGGAGCCTCTGTTGCTGTGTGAGGCTGTCGTCAGTGCACGTGGTCATCTGTGGCTTGTCTTTCAGGACCCTCAGGGTCGCCACGTCAAGACGTACGAGGTGTCCCTGCGTGAGAAGGAGTTTAACAAAGGTCCCTGGAAACAGGAGAACGTAGAGGCTGAAGCCTCCATGGTCATCGCAGGTTGGTCCTTCTTTGTGAAAAAATGTGTGTGTGTCCCCACCCCCCCCAATTTCTTTCTCAAGGCTGAGTGCTGCAGTCGTGCTGCACAGGTTCTCTAACAAGACATTTGTCTTCTCCTCTGCACAGTGCCAGAGCCTTTTGGAGGAGCGATCATCATTGGGCAGGAGTCCATCACCTATCACAACGGAGATAAATACCTAGCTATAGCTCCGCCTATCATCAAGGTGAGTGACCTGGGAGGAGGAGGTTCTCCTCCCCCTCTGCTCTGCCCCTGTGAGGCCCCATCTGGAGTACTGGGTCCAGTGCTGGGCCCCCCAGTTCAAGAAAGATGAGGAGCTACTGGAGAGAGTCCAGCGGAGGGCTAC